CTCCTAAGGTGATCATGCATGAGGAATACATTTAAAGATATTTAGTATTATTGAAAAAACAGTATTAATTTTAGTTTGGCAAATGGAAAGAATTCTGTAGACCTTCTGCCAATAGCTGTATCAGTAGTATACGGAAATTGCAGTAATACCAAAGAATTACGACAGTAGGATGACTCCACAGTTCTGGAGTTTCAAACTAGTAATGTATATTTTAAGAGCTTTTAAAAGTATATTTTCTGTTCATATAAAATTAGGTTAAATTCAGTCACAGTCATTAGGATTTGATGTATGGTTTTAAAATTCAATGTAGTATTGAATGATTTCAAGTAAATAATGAAGGCTTGTACTTCCCATTAGTCATTGCATAAATCTTTAGGTCTTAGTAAAAGGAATAATCTACAGCAAATTTCAACAAAAAGTTGATGGTAAGAGTAGAGATATTCACAATTATTTAAATGATTTTGAACATTGCATTTTTAATGTTTTAAGGTTCAGGCACAAGAGTTATATGGTACCAAGAAACCATGAAATGGAATGTAGCTTTCTTAACTAGTGTAGTTCATGTGAATACTTTTCAGAGTCTACAGTGTCTATAATTGAGCTAATTATTTTACCTTAGAATTTTTATTTAAATTCATTTTTTTTTCTGGTTACTTTTTATTAATGTTTTAACTTGATCTGTCACATGTAATCAAGGTTGGCTATCGGCAAAAAAATTTTTCATGTAATTCCCTGGTAGCTTCTGGAGTGATAGAACTTAAAGAAAATAAAGTCTAAGGAATTATTGTATTTGTTCAGGGAACATTTATACTTTCAGGAGAAAAATTATCTTTATATCTACACTGGTGACAAAGTAGATTTTTGTTTTAAAATGCACTTTGTATGTAATTAAAAAGATGAAATGAATATGAAATACCTTTTTTAAAAATGGTAATCTGCCTCAAAGGCATTCCCAACATACTTAAGTCTTATCATCATCTTCTAATAAAAACCATGTATTCATTCATTCAGCAAATTCTGGTTCAGTGGCGGGTGGTCGGAGACACATTGTTCAAAACAAATAAGGTCCCTATTCTTTGAGAATATAAATTCTATTGAGGAAACAGCCAATAAGTGAAAAATAATAAAAGGCAAATGTGATAGAGTGGGATGGAAAGACCACATCAGGTGAGAGTGATTTGGGAATGCCTCTGAGGAGATGACATTTGCTTTCAGAATTATGTGATGAGAAGGGATCAGTTATACAGAGATATGTGGGAAAAAACTCTCCATGTAGAGGAACATGAAAGTGCAAGGCCCTAAACAGGAATAAGATTGCCATGTTTGAGGTGCAGAAATAAGGACAGTGTGGCCAGAGTACAGTGAGCAAGGTGGTGAAGTCACTTGAGAAAGGCAGATGCTATATCATGCAGTGCCATGATAAGGAGCTTTAATTGTATTCTCAGTCATGGAAAGCAGTTGAAAGGATTTATGTAGGCTGATTATATGATCTGCTTTTTTAAAATATTTTTTTAAACATTACATTGGTTGATGTATGGAGAATGTGTTGAAGAGTTAAGAAAACAGGAGATCAGTTAGACTGTTGCGAAAAATTAGGCAGGTGATAATGTTAGCTTAGCCTAGGATCAGAGGAGTAGAGGTAGAGAGAAATGACTGAATTTGGAGATGATATTTTAAAGTAGAAATTAGGAGGTAGGTTAGGTATGGGGATGAAAGAAACTGCCATTGATGACTTAGATTTTGTTTTGAGTAGCTGAGCGTCTTGTGATATGGAATGTTGAGATTGTGAAGACCGAAGGAGAAAAGTACTTTTTGGGGTGAAGGCAATAGGAATTGGTTCTGTTTGGTAATATTTAATTTGAAGTGGTGCCTTTTAGCTGTGTGAACTACTAAGCTAATTAAGGAAACTTAAATTGCTTCCAGCTTTGAAAAGGAAACATTTATTTAAAAAAATACATAGAATATTTGTCCAGGAATTTAACCAAATTTATTTACACCTATGCATTTTTCCCTTTTTAAGTCTTAAGAAAGAGCCTTGTTGATAATAATGAATTATAACAATAAGATATAGCCTGCGAATCTGGCTATGACTTTAATAGCTATAAAAAGTTATATCTTTCAAAGAATATGAAAAATTATGCTTTGTTATAATAATTCTATAACTATTAGTTGATCCCCCTTCCCTAAAATACCTATTTTCTGTATATGATAAAGTTTCTGAGAAATCTTTCTTTATATTAACTAGAGATTTACCTTTACATATTCGTTGTTTCAGTAACGAATTCAGTTCTTTTCATATATGAACAAATGTTCCTTTATCAAAATAAGATAGAACTTATTTTAAAGACAATTTATATTAAATGATAGGTAACTTTAAAATTGCTGTTTTCATCTTTAGAAGGATCAAGCTGTATACCCTCAGTTTTTTTTTTTATCTGGAACCCCCCCGCCCCAGTGGACTTTGGTTGGGGGAGGAAATGGGTCCATGGATCCCTGAAATTGTTGGAAAAAAGTTATGTGTATCAGCAGTTTTCTGGGAAGAAGAAAAGTGGCTGTCATCAGAAGAGACTCAAAAGAATTTAAGAAGCAAGCCCGTAGATAATAGCTACATGAAATAATTTTAAATCTCTTCTTGTAAAGCAACAACAGGGGAAACAAGTGATTTAGAATACTAAGAATAAAAACCAAAACACAATTGTGGCCTACTAAGTAATCCCTTTTGTGGTAGTATCTCATTTGTGATTGAAAAAAAATAATAATACTCTTTAGCATATGTTTTAGTTATACTGATAAATTTAGATGAACTGAGTTTGGGAGGAACAGTTAATCTGAGTGCTACCCGAGCAGTTATAATCTTTTCTTTCTAAAATTATCAAAGGACATAATTTTTAGCTGGTACAGAATGTAAAATTACTGAGCTCTGTTCATTAACATATGGAAAGACTTTTTGTATAGTTTCTTGAAATGAGGTAAGAAAACTGTTTTCAGAAAATAGTTTTGAATTACCTTTTAAATACCTGACCTAGATGGTCTCCAAAGAATTTTTTTTTTTAATTTTGACAATGAAATTCAATCTTACATAGGCAAAATGTTGAGTGACCTTATCCCCAACCATAATGTTTATCTGACCAAAACCTTTGAATAATTTCTTTTATTAACAGTTAGATTGTCTATAATTACTCCATGTAGATTCTTGCTGTTGTTGCTATTGTTAGTATTATTTTGGCTGAGACATGGAGTGATCAAATAAATATAGACTTAACTCAGAACCCTGGTTTTAATATACTTCTTTAAATGAATTGAGTGTTTATTTTACCAGCTGAATAAAAGAACTATACAAAAATAGTTAGATGACTAGAGGAGTAGTTGAAAGATTTTTTAAAGCTCCCTCAATCTTTTTGTCTAGGCAATCCTTAGGTGTCACATGGCCCTCTAGTGGAAGGGATGCTCAGCTGGACCGAGGCAACTGCAGGATATTCCAGGGGAGTTGTTACCCAAGGGATTGCTTTTATTCAGGTAATCTTTATAGTTTGGATTAATTAGCTGGTTCTGACAACTTAGGTGATGGAATTTTTGAATAGGTAAGGAGCCGTTTTAAAGTAAATATCCCTATTTGTGGAAGACACCTAGATCAGCCCATTTCTTATTAAATATCATTGATCTTTATATTAAAGGATTGTTTGGGCTTTTTGTCCTTATTGTTGTTTTGTAATAGTTGTTGCTGTTGGTGGCAGTGATGTGTTTTATTTTGTTGTTTATTTTTGTTTTTTTAATGTAAAAAAAGTAAACTCTATACAAGTAATCATTCCTCATAAATAAGGTATCCCAAGGCTCTTTATTCCTTTATTCTTTTTGACCTTGTTTTTGGAAATAAAATTTCAACGTTTTTTTACTTTTTAAAAGTAATTTTGAATATTCATTTTTACATTCTTGAAACTTTGGTAAGCATTTAAAGTTTTACTTTTCTATTTGAAGAGGTCGATAAATGGTGGAAGACATTAAATAGAATGGAAATGTAGGTGCCTAACTTGCAAAAGGAGAAATAAGGTTTTAAATTTTAAATTAGTTAAGGCAAAAAGAAGCATAGAACTAAAATTGGGAGTGCTTATTTCTTTGTTTCATACTTTAATACATTTTATTCTTACTATGTAAACTCCTTGACATTCTTTTTCTTAGGATTAAAGGGAAATGTAAATTTGTAACTTGAATTTACTGTTTTTAAAAATCATTTCTCATTTACTTTGGAAACTTCTGGATGGGTGAATGAATATAAATCAAGAATGCCAGTACAATAGTGGCAGAAGTAGAGACTGACTTTTCCTTTCCTATTCTCTTCTGAAGACTCTTATTACTGTTGAAATAAAACTGAGAGATTTCTGGCAACTTGGTATTATAGCAGGATGTTTTGAAGCAATAACTATTACTAATGAAATTTTTAAAGAATATGAAATAACTGATAAGCTTAGTGATAGTCTCTGATCCAGCAGGTACCAAAATACCTACTTTTTGATTTGCTGTCAAAATGCAGGCAAAAATAAAATCTACAGAATATGATGAGAAAATATTTTGTGTTTATTCTTTTGGAAGGCGTAATAAATATGTAATGATGCAGGTATTTTTAGTAATTTACGCAGTGTTAAAACCATGTTAATAGGGAAATAAATTAATTTTTATAGATGTTCTTTAAAAGTAACTAAGATAGCCTGCTTTAAAATTTTTAATAAGAATTTCTTCTACTTATCAGGGTGAATCAGCGCTTGATTTGGCAAAACAGAGAAAAAACGTGTGGATGATCAACCACTTACAAGAGGCAAGGCAAGCAAAAGGATATGACAATCCGTCCTTCCTTAGAAAGCTGAAAGCTGACAAGGTAAACCTGTAACTGAAGATTTTCTTTTTCTTTTTTTTTTTGAGATGGAGTTTCACTGTTGTTGCCCAGGCTTGAGTGCAGTGGCAAGATATTGGCTCACTGCAATCTCTGCCTCCTGATTTAAAGCAATTCTCATGCCTTAGCCTCTGGAGTAGCTGGGATTACAGGCGCCCGCCACCACGCCTGGCCAAATTTTATATGTTTTTAGTAGAGACAGGGTTTTCACCATGTTGGCCAGGCTGGTCTCAAACTCCTGACCTCAGGTGATTTGCCCACCTTGGCCTCCCAAAGTGCTAAAATTACAGGTGTGAGCTACCACACCTGACCGAAGATTTTCAACATACAATTTTTAAAGCAGGATTCGTAGGTACACGTACTTAGCATGAGTACTTATAGCCTTTAATTTTGACATTTCTCAATGTAATTTTTAAAATATTATTTTACTCAGAATAAATAAAGGTAAATAACAAAGTTTCCAAGGGCTCCTGCCTACCTGATTGGTGACCTTTTGGCGCCATTTGATAATTAATAAGGATGGGTATATATGAAATTATTTAAATCTCCATAGGCTGCTGGTGTAAATTTTGGTTCATTGATTCAACTGGCTTTTGTTAAGTAATAGATAAAAATAAAGATTTTTCTAGTGAATGCTCATTTGTTAGTATGATGATAAATTGTGAAATACCTTAGTCCTAATACGTATCTTTTTAAACTACTCACAACTCCAGTACTAACTTGAGCTTTGCATTCTTTTGTGATATGTTGTATAACTTTTTTTCAGGGAGAGAATTTATATTCTTGACTTTCCTAGGGAAAGCCCATTTTAGATCATCTATATACCTTCAGTTTTAAATTGTATGACTGTTGGCTCAGTTGCCTAATTATAATATGGTAATAAAACTTAGAATATTTTCCCCCAAAGAGGTGGTATAGGTTCCTCACAATCTTATTTCCCACAAAAAAGAAGTTAACTGGCTCAGAGTTTCTTTATGTACCCAAATAATTGTCAAGATGTCTGCTAACTTGTCAATAATCACAGCTTGAGTGGCATTAAGTCTTGAGAACCATCTTCTGTAGATTGTATTTAGGCAGTTCTAGTAGTCATGTAGATTATTTAAAGTTAATAATGATCTATCTGTTCCCAAGGCAAAAAGACAAATTTGGGATAAAGAGAAGCACACTTGAAAGCAGTACCTCCTTTATTTATAGGAGTTTGAACTCAATCAGTTGAAAAGTCCCCTGGTCTGCCACTTAGAAGAATTAGATTCATAGTTTATGAACTTGGCTGTTTACAGCCCTATAGCTGAGAATAATGAACAATTTTTCCATGTTATGTTAACTCTTTTATTATTAGATACAATATAGAAAATGATTTATTTTGTGTTGCTCAGTTTTCTAGGATTTAGAGCGGCTTTGCTCAACAGAGTGAAAAATGGCTGTCTCATGATAATTAGGCTAGTAATAAAAATATCTTGTGTTACTTTGGAAAATCCCATAATGTCGGTTCTTTTGTTTTGTTGAATGTGAGTATTTTGAAGTTTTATTTTATATATATGTGTATATATATATATATATATATATATATATATATATAGATAGACACAAGTGACAACAAATTTTAGATGTTGCATTAATAGGTAAGGTTACTTACAGCATTAGTAAACTATATATCAGGTTTATGTGTTTGGGTATGATTTTTTTTTTTTTAAAAGAGAACTTCATAAAAGTGTAGTGCAATTTTAACATTTATATACCATTGTGGTCAGTTTAGAAATTGAGTTTCTTTCCTGTTTTTTTTTTCATTTGTAGCTTTAAATATATTAAAAATTTTTAAAACGTTAGTTTTAAAAATATATGATGATTGTGAGAGTAATCTTTAAAGGTTAAAAGTAACCCTCATATATTTAAAAATTATGATTAGGGGGCCTGTGAGATTAAGCATCTATAATTATGTAGACTGTTCTTTTTCCATGTCACATTGGAAATACTTCAGTCATTAACATGTTTTGATTTGCTAGCCTATGAAGTGTCTTTTATATGTAAAACTAAACAAGAATATAGTGACACCTAGGACTCAATAGCGTTTTATTTTAAAAAGTTATTCCCTTAAGAAAAATAGAAATGTCATTCCAAAAGGGGGAAAAATTTTTTGGATAGTGCTAGTAGATAGATAAAGAGTGACTCTTTAGCCAGGCATGGTGGTGTGCCTATAGTCTCAGCTACTTGGGAGGCTGAGGCAGGAGGATTGGTTGAGCCCAGGAGGCTGAGGCTGCAGTGAGCCAAGATTACGCCACTGCACTCCAGCCTGGGTGATTGAGTAAGACCTTGTCTCCAAAAAAAAGAAAGGGGGAGAATGTTTTTAGAAAACTATTTTAAAATCTCTTAGACTTTTTTAAGTAAAAGAATTTTAGACAGGCATATTTATAATTAAATAAGTCTTCTTAATAAGTTGGAAGGACATCTTTCAGTTAGTATTTAGAGGGGGTTTGGGAACAGGAGCGAAATTGACTACAAAAGGGCAATATGAGGAATCCTTTTAGTAATGGAAATATTCTGTATCTGGACTGTGTCAAGATTAGTTTCCTCGTTGTGATATGCTACTGTTTTGCAAGATGTTACCAATGGGGGACAAAGGATATTTAGGATCTGTCTGTATTATTTATTACAACTGTGTGTGAATCTATAATTATTTCAAAATAAGTTTAATTTTAAAAAGAGGCTTCTGAATCTAGGTGGTGGATATGCTTCCTATGTAATTTTTCAAATTTACTATATGGTTGAAAATTTCCCTAATAAAATACAGGAGAAAATAAATTTCTCATATAGCAGCACATCACCATTATATCTTTGTAGTACCATTTTATGTAGCAATACATTCTCTCTTTTCTGAGTAGTAAATCTTCTCTCATGTTTTAAGGTTCATACTTAATAGAAAAAAAAATTGGATTACTTATTTTACTACTTTTAAAATTAAAATTAAAGCCTGAAATTGATGTTTAATTATTACTCTAAGTTAAAATTACACATTTAGTTTAGAAAATGAATTACAGTGGCCAAATTGGGGAAGACATGGTCATTTATATGAAAAAAACAAAAACAAAAAACCCTCCTTATTTCAGTGGAAGCCAATAGGATGAAAAAGGTGCTAAAAACGTGTAATATAACCTTAGCCTTTAGAAAGATATTCAATAAGGAAAGCAGTGTTTATACTCTGCTTTGTTAGACTACAGCTGTTTTTGTTTTTGTTTTTTTGGGGGTGTGTATGACAGGGTTTCATTTTGTTGCCCAGGCTGAAGTACAGTGGCCTGATCATAGCTCACTGCAGTCTTGACCCTTTACCTCCCTGGGCTCAGGTGATCCTCCCACCTCAGGCTCCCAAGTAACTGGGACTACAGTATAGATATATGCCACAATGCCCAGCTAATTTTTGTATTTTTTGTAGACATGTTTTTGCCATGTTGCCCAGGCTGGCCTACAACTCCTGGACTCAAGTGATTCTCTTGCCTAGTCTTCCCAAAGTGTTGGGATTAAAGACATGAGCCACCGTGCCCCGCCTTGAATATCTTATATAGTTTTTTGACCTAAGGTAACTGAAGAGAGACTTGATAACTGGCTGTAGGTTTGTGAAGGGCTCTTATATGAAAGAGGCTTACTTTGGTTGCTATAAAGATAGAATTGTGATAGATGTTATGAGGAGCTATGTAGGTTTTATACTTACAAGTATGGACTTTCTAACAACCAGAACAGCACAGAAATGAAATGGAAATACCTTTAGAATATTGAGCACTCTGCCTTGATCTTTGTTCAGAGACACATCTCTTCATTTAGTGGACTCTAGGAGCTTACGGATTGTTTCATTTTATTCTTTATCTCATTTTAAGATTTTAGTATACTGTTTATTATTTGAAATGTCTTCACCAGGCAAGCATCTTCAGGTTTTCTTATGTGATATAATTCTTACGCTATCAGTCATTCTAGTTGTCTTTGTCTCTCTGGTTATCAGTGCCCCTGTTAAAAAGGAGTGGTATTTTTCATAAACTGTTGGCTAGCCAGTTTATGTGTTAAGCAGGTGGTACTTTCTTCAGTATTTGACCATATAGAACCCACTCCTGTAACTTCTATTCTTATTTTCCACAATTTTAGCAAAGTTATTTAAAATTGTTTAATGCCTGTCTCTAGAAGACAGACTCTTAACACCTCAAATAGTACCTGTACATAGTATGCAAATTTGAATGAATGAATTTCACCTGCTGTTGCATGCCTTCATAAAAGTAACAGTGGTTCAGATTGAGATTACTTGAAACATGCAAAAACTTTCTAATTATTTGTTTTTGTACAGGAATTTCGGCAGAAAGTAATGCTAGGAACACCTTTCCTGGTTATTTGGCTGGTTGGGTTTATAGCAGACCTAAATATTGATTCTTGGCTCATTAAAGGGCTAATGTACGGTGGTGTTTGGGCTACAGTACAATTTCTTTCAAAGTAAGTGTGTTGTTTTTAACAGTATTTTAAATTGTACATGAAATAATATAATTTGTACTCTGTTATATAAAATTAATGTTTTGTATGTTCAGAACTCTGCTTTTATGTTGTACATTTGATCTTAATTTATTTAAAGAATTTAGATATCTATATGTGAAATCAGATTTTTTAGCATTGTTGTTAAAATGATTCAAAGGTGCTATACAGATTAAAGTCTACCATATAATTTTTAACACTAAAATATTTATTGAGAAATATTTGAAATATTTTAGTAAAAGCGAATTTGAGTCTGTTGAACTCTAAGTATAACATACATATTGTTAATTTCTAGGTAATTATAATTCTTGAGCTCACCTTTCTATGGGAATTATTTTTTCCTATAGAAAATAAGGCATAAGCAATAAGCAAGGAAGAAGTTGTATTTTTAGTAGCAAGGTAATGTCTAAGCGTAATTATGAAGTAGGCTTAGTTTTTAAGATTATTTTCTCCCTCTTTTTTCTTTAAACATCGTGATCATTTCATTTCTTCTTATGCGTAGGTCTCATTGCTCTAAAGTTGCCCTACCCAACAAACCTAGACAGGAGTCTATGATATAGAACTTCCCATCTAATTTCCATTCCTTTAGTATCTTATTTTCACTTGCTTTTCAGAAAAGAATTCTGAAAATAATTCACAGAGAAATGAGAATTAGACTAGTATTACAATCTGCTGAGTGGCTTAATTCTAGTTAATCTCATTTTAGTAGTTTTAGGAGCTCCAAGAGGTATAAATAGGAAGTCACTAAGACTTTCTGCCTGTTTATGTGTAGTAAAATGTACTAATGTTTATTTTTCCCAATTTTAAGTATTATAAACACAACTCTTCAGTTTCACTAAGTTAGCCAGTTCATTCTACTTGAAAAGATGTGCTCCAACTTTTGCTGGAGTTTATATAGGTAAGGATAAATAATGATGAAACAGAAAAATGTGAAGCTTGGTTTGTATTCATTTGTCAAAATTATAACACATCTTTGGTGAATAATATTCTGGATGATAGCTACTATAAATACTAAAGTCAGTTATTGACTTTAAGAAAATAAGAGTACACTAAAATTCAGATACTGAAAAGTATATGGAATATAATTTAAATTTGGGGGAAATTAAAAGGAACTTCAGAATCTTGCTGAGTCCTTCAGCTGTGAATTAATTTTTATTGATGACTGTGAAAATAGTCATGATATTTTAGCATCTTGAACTGTGGATTCTGGTGAAACCAATGCTTACAATAAAAAATGTGTACATTTTCATTTAAACAAATATTCATTTTTACAATGAACTGTAGAGCTCATGTGTTGTAAAACTTGTGTTTTACAGATCCTTTTTCGATCATTCAATGCATAGTGCATTGCCCCTTGGAATATATTTGGCAACCAAATTCTGGATGTATGTGACGTGGTTCTTCTGGTTTTGGAATGATATCCTTTGGTTATAAAAATCATACCTAAAACAAATTTTGTTTGTTATTTGAACAAATGTTTAATAATTTGACATTAGAACTGAACTACTCATTCATAATACATTAAAATAGTGTTCCTAGAAAAATAAGTACTAATATAAATAATATTTTCTAATATTTTATATTTAATAGGTTGCTTTTGAAAAGCTATCTTTAATAACAGCATATAAATAATAGCAGCTATCATTTTTGAGTGTTTAAAAGGCACTTTTTAACTATTCATTTAATTCACATCTCATAAGTTAGTATTGTTACCCCTTTCTTCCCACTTTTTTTCTGTGTTTTTTATTTTTATAGATTCAGGGGTTACATGTGAAGGTTTATTATATGGATATATTGTATAATGGAGAGAAGAACAAGCAACATAATTTAAAAAAATGGGTAAAGGACACAAACAGACTTTTCTCCAAAGACATGCAAGTGGCCAAACATGAAAAAATGTTAAACATCACTGATCATCAGAGAAATGCAAATTAAAACCACAATCTCACACCAGTCAGAGTAGCTATTTTTAAAAGGTCAAAAAACAACAAGATGTCAAGGATGTAGAGAAAAAAGAACACTGTTGGTGGGACTGTAAATGAGTACAACCTCTATGGAAAACAGTATGGAGATTTGTCAAAGAACTAAAAATAGAACTAGCAGCCATTTATGGTGGCTCACACTTGTAATCCGAGCACTTTGGGAGGCCCAGGTGGGTGGATCGTGAGGTCATGAGTTCAAGACCAGATTGGCCAGTATGGTAAAACTGCATGTCTACTAAAATAACAAAAATTAGCTGGGCAGGGTAGTGCACGCTTGTAGTCCCAGCTACTCGGGAGGCTGATGCAGAAGAATCACTTGAACCCAGGAAGTGGAAGTTGCAGTGAGTGGAGATGGTGCCACTGCACTCCAGCCTGGGTGACAGAGTGAGACTCCATCTCATAGTGGGGTTGGGGGTGGGGGCCGGGCAGAAAAGAACTCTACCATTCAACCCAGCTATCTCGATTTTATAGTTGAGAAAAATTTAGGCTCTGTAGCTAGTCTCTGATCAAGTTGGGATTGTGAAACATGTATTTTTCTAACTAAACATATTTATTCTAAGCCGTTCTACCAAATGTTGATTTTTATGTTTTGGTATCAAACTATTTTCTCTAAATATTTTTTTGAATACCACTACTTATTTTGTTGTGGTAAATAAGAGTTAATCTTCCCTCTTCATCTCTTTTGCCTTCATGAAAAGGTGTTTCATCTCTTTTGCCTTTATGAAAAGTATGTAATGCTGTATTTTCACACATTTGCTATCTTCAGCAAATTGTCAGTGTAGTATACTTTCCCTATTTACATTTATTTTTAATTTTTATGTTTGAGAGACGAGATCTTCTGTTGCCAGGTTGGAGTGCAGTGGCACAACTATGACTCATTACAGCTTGAACTCCTGGCCTCCAGCAATCCTACTGCCTCAGCTTTCCAAGTAGCTGGGACTACAGGCACACACCACCACGACTTACTAATGTACTTTTTAAAACTAATATAATTGAAATTGTAAGTATGCCTGTGTGCCAATAAAGAAATTAAGCCAATGTCAATTTTTGATATTTTTACATAGAAAAAGTTCAGTCAGCAAGATAGACTGACTTATTGTAATAAAGGCCCATGTTTCCTAAATGTTAATTAAATATTTTTCAAAACATTACTACCAAAAGTATATGTTTTAAATGGTATGCAGTTTTTGGTGACTTATAACTGTTCTAAATAATCTTAGTTATTCATACCTGGTTTCACTTCACAACCTTGCATATCATAGTACTGTATTCTTTTTGTTAAGTTGCCTTGTGTCTTAGTTGAAACACAAAATGTGCTTATTTTATTTTTGAGACCTAAGGCACAGAATTGTAACTACACTTCTGATTCTTATATTTTTACTGCATTATGTAATTGCTTTCAGAAAGAGTAGTACTTTTAAATATTTTCTTAGTGTAAGTATCTATTGAAATTCTTCCATATGGCAGTTTTCACTAGCAAATTCTGGCCTTGTATTATACTTTGTCTTAAAAATTATTCCTCAAGGATTCATTAAGCTTTAGAATTGCCATATTGGAACACTTAGTATGAGTAAAATAGATCTGTTTGTTTTCATTACCTCATTTATTTTAAACTTATAAAAAGCATTGACGTCTGAAATGACTTTAGTATTCCAGACATATTTTCTAACTTTATGTTTCCTAAATTGGACGTTAAAAGTTATGTTCGAGAAAAAAACTCAGATTCAGATCTCAAAATAATGTTTAACTGTTTCTGTACTCCTGTTACGTGGCAAGAAGCAGGAAAATCAGTAACTTACCAAATAGTGAAGCAGGAAAATCAGTAACTTACCAAATAATGAAAAATTAATGCTAGAGAGTATTATATAGTAAAATTTCATTTTTTTCCTTTATTCAGAGTTAGTATAAAATAGCTAAACCTTGGGAAATAGTATAAAATAGCCAAAGTTAGAAATTGAAACTAGGAGAGGCAGATTTTGAAGGGAGGACCAGGACAATCAAGTCTATTTAGCCTACCCTATTTGAATAATTCTGCCTTTAAAATAGATTGATATAGATTTCATGTTGTAAATACATTGAATAAATTTCATCTTAATTTTTCAAATAAAAATGCTGTATGAGAATATCAAGTTTTATTCTTACATGTCTGTAAAGGAGAGATGATAGTAGCGCTGTCTCAAAGTTCTTGAGAAGATGAACACCTGAGGACATACCTGACATGTAAAAAGTGTCTTTTTTTTTTTTAAAGGTGCACATTACCATTTCTGATGACTTCTAAAATCTAAATTATATCTAAAGTTATTTTAAATGTGGATTCACAATTTCTTTTGTTTTTGGGTTTTTGTGGGGTTTTTTTTTTGAGACACTGTCTCACTCTGTCACACCCAGACTAGAGTGTAATGGCATAATCACAGCTCACTGCAGCCTCAACCTCCCAGGCTCAGGTGATCCTCCCACCTCAGCCTGGGACTACAGGAACATACCACCATGCCTGGATAATTTGTATTTTTTGTAGAGACTGAGTTTTGCCATATTGCCCATGCTAATCTCAAACTCCTGGGCTCAAGTGGTTCTCTTGCCTCAGCCTCCCAAAGTGCTGGGATTATAGGTGTGAACCCATGCCTGGCCACCAATTTCTTTTGTTTGAACATTTGTGTGTATGTAAATGATACTCATGAAATGTGTGGTAAAATCACAAATTACTTTAAATTCCGCATATGCAAAGGAAACCTATACTTCATGTTATAAAAGAACTGTATTTCTAGGTCCCCTATGATTTTGCAACTGTGTTTTTCTCCCAGTTTTATACTTCTAAAGCCAGTGTGAGAAGCTTAAGAAACCTCTAGGGAAGGGAACAGAAAAGAGCACGAGTAAGTTATAATGGAGGCACAAAGGATCTTAAACAGGAAATAGTCACAGGCTCATGATATGCAGTGATGATTCAGGTATCTTAAGATAAAATAGCAGCAGTTGTCTAGGATCACTTCTGATGACCTCAGGCTCTTTTCTGTTGCTTTGACCATGTCTCGTGCAACTCATGGCTACCTATGTAATTAACACTGATTTATACTAGCTTTGACAAATAGAATTACAGTTGTTTTTCATTATTCATGGTAGTTCTGTAAAGTTGCTGCAAGCACTGAAATAGAAAATACTGAACCATTGTTCCTAAGAGAAATACAGAGTTAGGTTCCCACATGACTGTGGTCACAACAGTATTGGTGTCCACTTCACTACATAACCTTGTTTTGCATGTGTTTCTTTTTAAAAAATCTTATTTAATATGTATTGTTGATTCATTAATCTTGAACTTATGGCCAACAGCACTATAGCTTATTCCTGAATGAAGCTTATCTATTACAGGACTTTTTTCTGTAAAGTACATCACAGCCTCCTTGTGCTTAAGAGCATGATAGCACTTCAGCACTATGCTTGAAGGTCCTTTTAAACAGCAAAATCAACAGCACAAAAATGTGGCCCTAAATAGACCATGTAAAGGACACTTGTTTATAGTTATGAGAACTAAAACAAGAAGAGAGAATGTTGCTTTGCTTAGCCTCAGCTGAGAATGTGTGCATTGGGTGACTCTCATTTTTTACTGTTTTGTTCATGCCTGTTGAGTGACTAAAAAAGTGCCATGAATATTGATTTTGGTGTTATAAATTTTATCAAGTGGGTGTGAGGATCAACTTTATAAATTTTGTTTTGGTTTCTTAGGTAATATGATACGCAGCTTATTAAGTTACTTAATAGGTGTTTTTATGGTGATAATGAATTTTACATTGATGTAAACTATTTGTTCTAATAAGTTCTTACTGTTCTATTCTTTGAATAATTACTTCCCTATAAAACACTTCATATTTATTTGGTGCTTTTTTGTTTATAGTTTTTCAGATACATTATTTTACTTCTCAAAATAATTGAGATTAAAATATATATATATATTTTAATACATATATACAAATATATATACATATATATTTGTATATATACAAATATATATATATATATATATATATATATATATACATACACACAAATCTTAATACTGTTTCTAGCTGATGGGAATATTGAGGCTCTGAGAAGTTGTTATATCTTGCTCAAAGTCACATAGGTGGGAAATTATTAAGAGTTTGGTGTCAGACTCAGCTTTCTGGCCTGGTTCGGTGTATCTTCAAATGTCCTTATATTATACTCTGAATATAATTTTATGTTTTTAAACCTTCCTGGAAAACTGTTAGCCTCTAGAATGATTTTTAAAAATACCCTTTAATCTCTTAATCATATATCAGTAAATATTCAGTTGTAAGATCAAAGGTTTAGTTACAAGGATGTTTCTCTTCATATCATTTATTATAGGGAAAAAAATGAAAACAACCTGAATAGCCAGCCTAAATAAGGGGAAAGTTTTATCAGTTACACTACCTATGGAATTGGTATTACATAACCACTAAATACTTTCCTGCCTTAATGATATGGGCCCATATTTAAGATCTAATAAGTGAAAAAATACTAAATTACAGAATGAAGTTTAAAATGCACAAAGAAAAAGAGCTGGAAGTGATATGTATCATTTTAACAGTGGTTATCTCTAGGAATTGGACTGATTTTATTTGTTTTTTTGCCTTTTAATTTTAAAAATTTTTCACTATGTTTTTAAAATTATAAATAAACAACTCTGAAATTCACTGACATAGCCAGTTTAGTCAACTCCTTATTGTGTTGACAACACTTTTGAAATATTGACAAAAGGTTTTTAGAAATTTTATGTCTGAAAATAAGTTATTTTTCAACCTGGCTTTAAGCAAAATTGAGCTTCTTTAAACTCAAGAAAGGTATGAACAGTGTGCAGAATCTGGGACGATTACATATATTTAAAAAATCAAGATTGTATGGAATTCTCTCCCATGCCTTTCCTCTTAAGCATTTTTTTCTGTAGGTTACTCATTAGACTTCTCTGTTTTCTGTGTATCTCTCCCAGTTTCCTTTCAAAACCCTCTAAGCCTTTTAATGCCTGTCTTCAGGTATCCAGTCACCCACCACTTTTCATGAATTCTAACAATATTGCTATAAATATTTTTGTATATCTTTTTTTCCCACAAGAGTTTCTCTGAGGTCGTTAAAGATATTCTATGATTTGCATTCTCAGTTGTGTGCATTTGACTACTGTAAATGAAGACTGATGTGAGGGGAAGGATCAGTATCTTTCCCCTCCATTAGAGAGGTCATTGTTCCAGCATACCTTTTCTTCACTCAGTTGCAGTCTCAACCTTGATATTCATCAAGTTTCCTAGGTACTCCGGTTTATTGATCTATTTGCCCTTATTAACGCTATATAATCTTATAGATTTGTTCTTAAATTATATCTGAGCAGGGCAATTTTTCCAAGTTTGTTATTTCTCAGGAATGTCTTAGCTCTTTTTGGCCTTTTGCTCTTCCATTTAAATTTTTTTAGCATAAGCTCTTTGCGTTCCATGAAAAGCCTTATGCCTTTTTTGTTTGTTTGTTTAAGGTAGTCTTGCTTTGTTGCCCAGGCTGGAGTGCGGTGACGTGATCTTGACTCACTGCACCTCCACGCCCTGGTTTCAAGCAATTCTCCCACCTCAGCCTTCCAGATAGCTGGGATTAGGCATACACCACCATGCCTGGCTAATTTTTGTATTTTTAGTAGAAACGGGATTTCACCATGTTGGACAAGCTGGTATCAAACTCCTGACCTCAAGTGATACACCTGCTGCAGCCTCCCAAAGTAATGGGATTATAGGCATGAGTACCATGTCTAGCCAGCCTTATGCTATTTTGATTGAAATTCTATTTGAGCTGTAGATTTAGAGAAAGTAATTTTGATACTTAGACCTTTTATGTTTTTTGGTGAAGTCATATAATTTCTTATGTAGAAGTTCATATCTCAGATTTTTAAAAGAATTTTAATTTTTTTAAATTATGAATTTTTAATTAAATTTTCTATGCGTGTTTGGTTTATAGAAATGATGTAGCTTATTAGTTATTGCCAACAATTTTGCTAAAGCCTTTTATTATTTCTAAAAATTTGGGGGTATTTTGGATATATGACATGGGATAATCATTACATATAAAGACTGAATTTTGTTTTTCTTTCTAGCATTTAATTCCTTTAGTGATTGTATTATATTAGCTGGGATCTCAGTACACTGTGGAATAGACACAGAATGAGTATCCTCATTTTGTTCCTGACTTTAAAGGGTATCATCTTTAGAAGATTGACTTTAAAGGGCTAGTATTTTACCATTGAGTGTGATATTATAAAGTGTTTACTTGGATTTGATGAATAACCTCTCCTTCTACACTCCCCTTTTGTTTTTACTTTTTGTGAATTGTTTGTTTTTTTCTTTATGCTTTTATATTAAATAATGTATTAATAGACTATTTCTAATGTTGAGCCACTTATGCATGCCTGGAGTAAACAAACATGGGCAAAATGTCTTATTTTTCTATACATTGCTGGATTAAATTTTTTACTAGTTTTGCGTGTACATTTGTGAATGAAATTCTAATTTTTTTGGATTGTCTTTGCTATGTTTTGATATCAACATGATAGCCTCAAAATGGGTACTGTTTTTAAATGTCTTTGAAAGGGTTTGGGTTAGATTGAAATTATTGACTATTAGATTGACTACATGTTTATTAGACTTCGTAAAATCATTTTCATCTGGGGTTTGCTTTATGTTAAATAATTTTATAATATATAGTTTATTTGACTCAGTTGTTTATATATTTTAGTGATTTGTTCATCTCTTGTTTTCAGATGTGCCACGTTCTCTGTTTTTTTACTTAGCTGCTGTACCCCCTCTCTCATTCCTAGTATTAATTAGAGCTATTTTTTAGTTAATGTATTTTATTGAATTTTTCAAAGTAAAACTTTAGGTTTTATTAATCCATTCTATTTTCACTTTCAGTATGTTTTATTTATTTCCTGTTGTCTGCTTGTTTAGTTTTTTTCTTTAACTTGTTCAATTGTTTAGTTTTCACTGATATTTTCTGTTAGAAACATTTAAGTTTAAACAGTAACATTTCATATGCCACTTCAGCTTCATTCCATAAAGAAGATTAAGCTTCTTAATTGGGTTGCTCAAGTCACTATATCATCACCAAATTTTTACCTATTTGCAGCTAAGAGAACTATGTTAAAATCTTCTGTTATGTTGGTATATTTAGCAGTTTCTCTTTGTGGTTCAGTTTTTTGCCTTACATATTTTGTAGTTTCATTATTAAGTATGTAAAAGTTTAGAATACTTTCCAATGAATTGAACCTTTTATCAATATATAATGACCCATGGTAAAAAGCATTAGTGATGACTATTTATTTTAATTAATATTGCTTTAAATCATTTATGGCCTTGAATTTTAGAAATGTCTCTTGCAAATAGCATATAGGGATAAGCAAATCTTGAAGAGTGGACACTAAATTTCTCAACCACTTTACCTCTCTATTTGTGTTTATTTATCATCTTTGGTCTCCAGGGGATTTTCTTACTCTACTAGCAGCTCAGCAACACACTTAAAAATATTTAATTATTATTACTGTTTTTTGAGAGTTTTACTCTGTCACCCAGGCTGGAGTGCAGTTGCACAATCTCAGCTCATGGCAACCTCTGCCTCTCAGGTTCAGGTGGCTCTTGTGCTTCAGACTCCCAAGTAGCTGGGATTATAGGCATGTGCTACCACGCCTGGCTAATTTTTGTATTTTTAATGGAGACAGGGTCTACAAAAGTTAAAAAAATTAGCTGAGGTTGAGGGTGCATGTCTGTAGTCCCAGCTACTCAGGAGGATGAGGCAGTAGAACCCTTTGAGCCCAGGAGTTTGAGACTGCAGTAAGCTATGATTATGACACTGTACTCTGGTCTGAGCAACAGAGTGAGACCCTGTCTCTATTAAAAAAAAAAAAAAAAAAAAAAATTTCTGCCTCCTCTTCCTCCCTCTCTATTAAAAATTTTTTTACTCAAGAGCACATTACTATTGAGATTAAAAAGCAATCAGTATGTTTCAGAGGATGTTAATCATTGTCCCTCAGATTTTCTTAATATACAGTGTATC